ACATCCTTTTATACCCCTTGAGTTTGCTGGGAGACAAAACCACGCATCATAAGAAAAACACATTGTAAACCATACACTACTCTACGGATGTTGGAGATTGTGATTATGATTCTTTTGAGTACTCCCTAATATCTAGTCCCATGCTGGGCTGTGGAAGAGCCCTCTGAGCAATATTGTCTGAAGATGCTGGAGAGTCTCATGTTCTGGCTCTAATCAATAGCTGGAGTCTCTTCCAAGACAGCCATTTCCCATGACATCCTAGAGGCGGAGCAGGGCTGTGCCTCTCTTTTTAAACTCTCCTCCTTCTCTTCCCTCTTTCTCTTCAGGCTGCCAGAGCTTTTGCTAACAGGGAAAGCACAACCATACTGCTACAAGTAGTGAAATCCGCAGTCAGTAGTGAAGTCCACAGTCTGCACTATTGGATTGGTTTGCACGTGGTCTGTATTATGTTCAAAGCATTAAAGAATCTGCAGGTAGATTATTTACAGAGCTTCTCTGCAGAGCCACAGTTCGGCCTCTTCTCTTTCTCTCTTTCCACCAAGACCCTTTATTTGCTGGAAGCATCTGCCTACACTGGGTATTAATCTGAACCAGCATGATTCTCCTGATCCCTAGAAGCAGCAGCTCACACCTACACGCTAGGATGAACTCACATTGCTGTGCAAAGCTAACAACCTTTCTCTGAAGTGGTGTCACGTGCAGACAGAAAAATAAACGTGCTGTTTCTTCTTGGATGATAAGCCATCTTTCAGACAGACTTTGGACACAGGGAGAATTGAGGCATGATTCCCTTTGAGTCTCAGCAGAGAAAACAGCACCTAATTGGATCAAGAGAGAATGGAGCCAGCGTCTGCTCTCATGATTATTTACACACCCAGCTACCATAAAAAACACTTCACTGCCTCATTACAAGTGAAATCTAGTTGCCATTACACTTTCTACTGGCCTCCCCTCTATGCAAATTGGGGAGAAGAAAAAAAACTCATAAGGTACCATGTTTGCACATAGACATCAGCAGCCATGAAACAATATGAGTAACTAATGTCAAACTGACAACACTGTGCTTTCCTATTCTCTCTGAAAATATTTTAAACACATCTGCAAAGGCAAGCATGGTCCCACTGTATCAGTACTTCAGGAAGACACAAGCAAAAAGTGGTGGTTGAATTGTGGGCATCACTGAGTACCAAGGAAAATGATTTCTTGGAGAATTCAGTTTTTGTTTTTTAAAAAATGATTTTAAAATTTCACCAACTTGGAAAAATTTTGTTCTAACTCCCTTTACTGACAGTTGTTTGTGCTGGGGGATGAGTATTTCATAGCTAGTTCTCCCAGCATTTCTGCCTTGGCTGCCTTGGGTAACACTCCCGGGCACCTTCTGAGGGAGGCAAGGGCAGTTCTCTCTGCTGGAGATGGAGCAGCGGCATCTCCGAAAGCTGGGGACTCTGATTATTACTCAGCATGCCCACCCTGGTCATTCACCTGTTGATCCACATTCTCCCTCATCTTTCTAAGCCTGGATGAAACAGCTTCCCTTTTCTGTAGTGTTTCCTGGTCCCTTTGGATGCTACTTTCTGTCCTGACCAAGTTCGAAACTTATTTGAACAACAAATCAGAAAATCCAGCAGATAGTGCCACCAATATACCTTTTGTTACTGATAATAAATAAATGAAATCGGACAATGTAACTGAGTGAGAGGGCAAAAACCCCCAAATGGCCAAACCCTACTACCTCTTGGTGGGCATTGTAGTTGTGAAGCTTCCCCAGAGAGCCAGAGGTGGGCAGGAGCACAGAAGGCCAGCTTCCGGCCCTGGGACACTCCTGAGAAGAAAGGCCATGCTGAACAGCACATAGCAGCTGTTCCCGCAGCTGACCAAGGGGCAACTCAGCCTTGAGTAAAGCGGCCAGGATAGGCCAGAGTGTTCTGGGGGTGGGGGTGATCTCCCCTCTAGTGCAACAGAGAAGAGGAACGCAACTAGGCTCACCCTGTGGGCTCCAGCTCAGAACCCCAGATGGAGAGGGAGCTAGCTGGGTGGGTCCCTCTGTGCCCCTCTGTGCTCTGCATAGCACCTGCTGTGCACTGTCAGTGTCTGGAGACCCCTGAGGGCAGGAACTGTTTTTCTAGCATCACCCAGCACAAGCCTGGCTCAAGACATGGCCCAGTCATTGCTTGTTGAATGTACCTGTAATGTGGTGACTGAAGCCAGGTTACTGGAAAATAGGGCCAGAGCTCAAAACTCTGACTCCTGGCCTGCTGCTGTTTGTGCCCTGCATTGTGCTGTGGTCACTATGCTGTGAAAACCTGCATCCCCACTGCCCCTAACCCCACTATCCACAACCAAAAGGGGAAGATCTGTAATAATAACATATTCATGAGGGTTACTATGTGGCAGTCTTCCCAGTAGATACACACTCGTAACTCCTACAACCCTCTCTGAGCTTGGGGTTACTGTTCTCCAGTTCTATGGGTAAAGAAATTCACTAAGCCGTTTAGGAGTCAAGTATGATAGCATGCAACTGTAGATCTATAATTGCAGCTACTAGGGAGGCTAAGGCAAGAGGAACAATTGAGTCCAGGGGTTCAAAGTCAAGAGTGTCTCAAAAAAAGGGAGTGTGGTGCTAGGCCAGACATGACGTCACACACATGTAATCCTAGGTATTCAAGAGGCTAAGTCGCTGGGCGTGGTGGCGCACGCCTGTAATCCCAGCACCCAGGAGAATGAGGTAGGAGGATCACTGTGAGTTCAAGGGGAGCCTGAGCTACACAGTGAGTTCAAGACTACCCCGAACTACATAGTGAGACCCTGTCTCATAGTACCAAAGCAAAGAAAGAAACAGTCAAGAGGCTAAGCCAAGTTTGAAGCCAGCTTTGACAACTTCAGAAGACTTTTTTTTTTTGAGATGGGATCTCACTAAGTATTCATTGCTGACCTTAAACCTCAGTAGGTAGCCCAATCTGCCCTCAAACTTGTGATCCTTTTACCTCAGCCTCATGAGTGTTGGGATTACAGGCATGTACATTTCCCTAATGTAGTGAACAAATAATCATTTCAGGTTGCGTTAAGTACTGTAAAAAAAAAAGCATGCTGAGAGGTAGGTGGGTGATGACCTTGAAGGCAGGTCTCTGGAGTGCTCAAGGTCATGTGGTCAAGAAGAGTCCGTGAAGAGAGAATGCCATGTACTCAGAATCTAGTTGGGCATGGGTGCACTGTGCCAAGATCTGGGTAGGGTGTTTTATTTTTCTTGCTAAAAAAGAAACTTTTTGGTTTTTCGAGACAAGCTCTTCCTATATAGTTCAAGCTGGCTTTGAACTCTGGCCTCCAATTTGAGGATCATTTAGACCACTCCCAGCTGGCTGAGGATGGGTCCTGTAGTAAAGCAGGCTCCTCCCTGGCAACCTGGACTGCTCGAGAAGGCAGAGTGCAGTCAGGGAAAAGGACCCCATCCAGTGGGCAAGGGGGAGCAGCAGCCACAGCCCTGAGGGGGACCCTGAGAGGAGCAGCAGAGCAGACCAGAGAAGAGCTGTTGCAGTGTCGTCCGGTAGTTCCTTTAAAAATGACTCGCCAAACAAAAGCATTCCTGGTCCTTCTTGTCTCAAACAGAGAAATGAAGGAGACAAGCCAAAAATGGTGCCAAAAGTTACTTGGAAATGAGGCGTGAAGGGGTAAGGGAAGCACTAGCTCTTCAGAGTAAAATTGGGCTAAGCAAAGAGAGAAAAGAGAAAAAAAAGAGCAAAAATAAAAGTACACCCTGAGTCTAGGGAGCTCTTCCTGGAGTCTGGTCTTAATTGTCCGTCCACATCTGGGAGTCACCAGAAGTTGTACATAAGGAGCCCTGAAAATCATCTAGCTCCATGCCCGGGATTTTGAAATCAACAGGTCCCACCCACTGCTCCAGCCAGTTTTGCCACACCCTGCCTTCTATATCAGCTGTACTTAGAGGTCCCCCTGGGTGGGATCTGGTGTCTTCCAGCCCCCTAGATTTATGACTCGCAGCAAGCTCTCTAGCTTTCCTGAACTTCAGAGGATTACATGGTGCAATGCCTAGAAAGTGCCTACCACACTGAGCCCTCCACCAGTGGCAGTTTCCTTCCCCAGATCTAGAGCAGTCAGGGCCTAGACCATAACATTTTGCTCCACAATGAATGGAAGGGCTTCTGAGTTTGGGGTCTCATAATGGGCTAGAACTCTTTCTCACTCAGCGTTCTTATCCCCGTGAACTCTTCTCCTGTCCCAGAGAGGGGAGGAAGGGCCTGGGACAAGGCACTGGAGGGAGGGTCCCCTTGGATTTTTTATTCCTTCACTGGTGTGCTTGAAACACCTAAGCACGCATAAGACTCTTCCATTGGCTGCCTGCCCCAAAGGCTAGCTCTGCTCCTTCTCCATCATATCTGGAGTCATGCGTGTGGTCGTGCCGTTCTTCAAGTTTGTTAAGCGGATTTGGCAAAAGATGACTTGCTGGGTGAGTTTCACATACTGTCTGATGGTCCTCATGATGCTGAGAGTCCTGATCAATGACCAAACATACTGTTGTTCCCCTCCTGGCCTCTTGTGACAGTGCAGGAAGAGGTGAGGGCATAAGATAGTCGAGGAGACTGAGTGTGGTGGCACAGGCCAGTAATCCCAGCATTCTGGGAGGCCAAGGCAAGACAACTGCAAGCTTGACCCCAATCTAGGCAACCCAGTGACCCAGTGAGGCACTGTTTCAAAATAAAAAGTAAAAAGGGGGCTGGTGTGTATAGTTCAGTAGCTCTGTCAAATGTTTTGAGTTTAACCCCACAACTACAAAGAAGAGGAAGGAGGTGGAGGAAGATAAAAGAGGAGCGGGGGAGGAAGAGGGAGAGGAAGAAGAAGAAAGAAGAGAGACACTGGACTGGAGAGGGCTTCAGAGAAAGTAGGCCAGGGAAGTCACCACTCCCTCCCTTTGGGCTTCTTTCCCTTTGACTGCCACCTCTGTCCCATCCCTGTCTCTGTCTCATCCATCTGTGCCTGTTGCTTAGGTTGTCTTCTGGAGACGCCAAATGAAGCAGACCATCATGACACATCCTGGCTCTAAGAAGCATGAGTTGGAGGAAGGGAAGACTCTCCCACATTTGGAGGCTCGCAAGTCGTCCACGTCCCCTGGAGAAGCTAAATTCCCCAGGATGGAGGAGTCCTCCAAGGCGGCTGAGACTTGTGTGTTGACCAGTCCCGTGAGCAGGACCCCGGTGGGGTTGGCCCATGAGGGCCACTCCTTGCTGCAGTTGCCACGAACAGCTGTCCGGTCAGCACCCATGATCATGTTCTCTGCCCTGCAGTCCAGCTGGCAAATGTGCCAGTGGAAGGTGAGTCCTTTTTCCACCTTCAACCCCAGCAGCTGTCTCTTTCGTCCACTCCCTGGTCCTGTGCTCTTCTGTCACCAGATGCTGGGGATATTGAGGAACCAGGTTTGCCCAGACATGGGGACCATAGACAATAGGCATCGTTGGTTCTGTGTCCTGAGGAGGTTGATGCAGGCTGTGGAGGGGGCTGTGGGTGACCAGGGAAGGGCATCTCAGACAGACTTGGGGAGTCATAGAAGGCCTTTCTACCGGAAGAGGGGTGAAGCTTGGACTCAAAGAAGTCACTTGGCTTAGGGAAAGTGGAGGGAAAGGAAGGGGTGTTCCACGAAGAGAAACAAGGGTATGCAGAGCTGGCTCCACATATGAGGGTTGGATTGGAGGGAACTTGGCACCGGAGGCAGGAAGGATGGCCAAGTTATGGAATTTGAATTTGACCCTGAGAGCACTGGGAGCTATGGAAGACACTTGAGGCGAGGAGTGACATGAATGAATTTTGCTTAAGAAATCTCACTGACACTCATACACGGTTAGTAAGAGTGAAAAATGGTAAGCACTCTATGAAAGAGTATGGCAGCCGGGCATGGTGGCACACACTAGTAATCAAAGTATCCTGGGATGTGGAGGAGGGAAGATCTCAAACCTGAGCCCAGCCTTAGTATTATAGCAAAAAAACCTGTCTCAAAAATTTTTTTTAAAAAGAGGAGGGGTGCTGAGGGTGTAGCTCAGTAGGAGAACATCCCAGGTTCCAGCCCCTGCATCACTAAAAAAAAAAAAAAAAGAGTTCACCTGGTTGGAATAGGTTGGAGAGGGTGGTCAGCAGGGGACAAGCGAAGAGACCAGAAGATCTGCTGGAGTCTGGTGCAATCCAGACCAAGAGATAATGATGTTCTGGGCACAGGGAAGCATCATTGGGTAGAGCAAGTGAATAGATTTGTGCACTGTTTGAGGGGAGAGTTTTGGGGTCAGTTGGTAGATTGGGTGGAGGTCACAGGAAGAGGGAGAGACAGAGGCCAGGCAGGCTGGAGACAATCACCGGGCCAGAGAATGAAGGAGAAGGAACAGACTTAGAGGACAAAGTGATAAGTTTAGGGTCCTCTGACAAGGTGAATTGAGGTAGAACATGTGCATGGAGGTGTCCTAGAGACAGTGGGGTATAAGGGTCTAGGGTTAGGAGAGAGCTCTGGGCTAGAGATCAAGTGTCATTTTGTCCTGCATGGTAATACACTCTCCACAGACTCCTGGGCTGGACTCACAGGTGGGTCCAAACTGGTCTTTGTCTCCCAGGAGTTGCTTTCTAGTGGAGAAAAGAGTTGAATCCTTGGGACAAATCTGTGAATGAACTATGGTATAGCCAGGCATGGTGGTGCACACTTGGAATTCCTACACTCAGGGAGGCTGAGACAGGAGGGCTGTCAGCCTGAACCCAGCCTGGGCAATGTAGGGAGAACTTATCTCCAAATTAAAAAAAATAATAATAAAAAGGGTTGGAGGTCAATCCTCAGTATGGGGGAGAGGGAGAGAGGGAGGGAGAGGAGAGAGAGAGAGAGGGAGAGAGAGAGAGAGACAGAGAGAGAGAGAGAGAGAGAGAGAGAGAGAGAGAGA